TAGATCAAAATAGATAGAACAATTGATGTTGTAATGTTCGTTGTGCTAAATTACAATTCAGATCGAACTATTAATGTTATAACAAAAGAACACTTCATATAGATCAAAATAGATAGAACTATTGTGTATTTCTTATTAGATCTCTATTTACAATTATGATTTTTTTTTACCTCTTCTTATTTTTACATATAGTTATGATAATATAAACTTATATAATTAAATATTAACCACCAGCTATATAAAATCATGTCAACAAAGCACAACTTAAAATTTAAATTTTAGTCGCACGTGTGAGTGTGTGAAGTGTGTGTCTAATGGTCTGAGTCGCACGTGTGAGGCACCATCTTTTTTTTTTAATTATTCTTTTCATGGCTTTGATCATAGGCTTTTGATGCCATTCACTCATAGCATCTCACTTTATTCCGAAATCAACGGCAAGGATTTTAAAAAAAAAAAGCCACACAAGAAAGGGCCTTCATTGTTAAAAAATTAACAATAAGTATTTAATTTTGTGAAAAAATTTCATATATAATATGGAAGATGTTATAGTTTCGTTACAGAACCATTCCGTCGGGATTTTTAACTTTTAGATTATCATGTAACCGTCGAGAATATTTGATCTAACGGTTACAAACTGTCGATAGTAACATTTTCATATATATATATATTAGTTTTTTCTGTACTGTTTATTTTGTTCCCAATAAATTGCAATCAAAGCACTGAGTCCCACCTCAGCTACTTTACTAAACCTTGTATGATTTTGGAGTTTGTGGGCAACTTGGGGCTTTAGTGGATTAATATCTATTTTTGTGTTTATTGTACTATATATTGAGTATGGACCAATAATATACATATAACCTATCATCATCAATCACACTTTGGAAAAATATAGTGCTCAAAATAACACATGTATAGTATAAAAAAGTTGAAACAAGTATGGGAATAATTAAATTATATGGTCACATGTTGCGTATGGATAAGTGTTATTGTGAAAAATCAAATAATTAATTTGGAAAAAGGTTATCATATTATATATGATAGTTATGCAATACATTCATCGAAGTATTAACATATGGCTGGATAACACATCTTAATATGCTCACGACGAATATATAAATGAACAATCTGTTAAATTATATAACGTGTGACTTCTATTAACAACAAAGTTGTTTATGTTTAGATTGTTATTTGTTTCTTAAAATTATTGATTTGAGCTCGAACAAGAAGTTAAGCGCTCGTTTATTAAACAAATCAAGTCGCAACATAGAATGGTAGATCACTAGTTCATTTCCTTGCTTATTAGCCAAATTAATAATTGCAAATTTGTGGTCTTTTATTGTAGAACGAGCCTATAATCGAGCTTCGTGTTAGACGTACAAGTCTCCAAATAACACTTACTTATAACACAATTTAAATTTACCACTTACTATTAAATTTATTTCATAAATAATCCTAACTACATGTTATTTTTTACCATGTTTATATAATATTGATTTTAGTTATTGCATCTCCATTCTACCGCAAATTTCAATTTTAAGATTTTATTTTTTAACCGAAAACTTATTTTCTATTATGAAATAACACACTCTTACCTAAATAATATATTTAACTCTCACTAAAGAGTAGCATTTTAGATGGTTAATTTTTATTTTTTTTTATTGTATGGTATAAATAGTTCAAAATTATCCAATATAACTAGCATTTGATTAATCAAGCCCAATTTTTGGAACATTTATTATCAATTGAATGAATGATATCGACTCAAGTCTCAGCACTACTTTTTCATTAATATAAGTACTACTACACTGTACTTCATGAGCAACTTAAATTCCGGTGAAGCCAGAAATTTATGTCATGTTTTTCAGTGTATTATTTTTATCGGTTTCCATATGAAACCAACAGTTGCCTCTATAATAGAACCAACTGTTAATTAAAAATGTACTAATACAATACCCGTGTACTTAAGTTAAAGAAATATATTATAAAAGTTATTGGTAATAAAAATATTACTTGATCTACTAATTAATGAAAAAAAAAAGAAATATACAGTGCAAAAAGTGATTTGTAAATCTTAATTTAGGAGAGAAATATGAGAAAAAATTATTAGATTGTAAGATTGCTACTTGCACAAACTAAGAAGGAAAATTGTACTAATAAAAATAATAAAGTTAAATGTACATACCAATTTTGGAAAAAGTTATTTATGTTTATACCAAACCTAATTACAAAGCAAAAAATTAATATACAAACAACATTCCGAAGCATGAATTTTTGTCATATCAGCATCCGAAGCGTATGAGTCTGCCACTTAGGCTCAACACGAGAGAACCTATTTACCAGAAATAGTGAAAAAAAATCCGCCAAAGTTAATTGCATGTCACGTTGGGAAATTATTTGAACTAGTGCATGGCCCGTGCGATGCACGGGAAAACAATATTACGATTGTTTTATAAATTAAATATACAGATAAATTAATCAAGATTTACCGATCATTTTTAAATTAAACCGTGTTGGACACAGTCCGACCGGATAGACCGAGAACCAGTTTATAATCAGTCTAGTTCACTTGAATAAAATATTTGCTATTGAATCCGTCAACACCAGTCGGTTGAACTGGTAGGATCAATACGATTTTCTAAATAAATTTGGTATATTTCAAATTATTTTAAATAAAATTACATATGTTAATAAAATAGAAATTTATAAATTGTTTATCAATTAATTAAACATTTGAATTTTTAAATTATTTAGATATTTAAATAACACGTTTTATTCAATTTTGTTACAAAAAGTATACATAAGCGTATTTTTAAAGAAAAAAATTAAATTTTATAATTTTTATAAATTAAATTGTAGGATTAAATTTTATGATTATATTAAAACGTATTTACACATTATATTGTATGATTTTGAAAGAAAAAATAAAAAATAATAAAATTACTATTTATAGGTTGCATTAAATGCTGGCCTATTTTTTTTGCTACTAATTTTAGTAAATAAGATGGCTCTTTATATAAGTATAGATTTTATTTAATCAGGCATCATTGAATGCTCCCTTAAATGGTGGGTTTACTCAATTAAGGTTTATTTATTTCTATTTAAGTTAAAAAAATATATTATAAAAGTTATAAAAAGTTTACTCGATCTACTAATTAATGAAAAAAAAAGAAATATACGTGCAAAAAAAAGTTATTTGTAAATCGTAATTTAGGAGAGAAATATGAGAAAAAATTATTAGATTGTAAGATTGCGACTTGCACAAACTAAGAAGGAAAATTGTACTAATAAAGATAATAAAGTTAAGGGTTAATTGCTAAATAAACTTTAACCTTTTTGCGTTTGGCAATTTTATTTCAATCTTTGGGTAATTGCAATATAATCTCGACCTCAATTTACTTATTGCAAGTCGAACCTAAAACCGGTTGGACCTTCAAAAAACTGGTCGATTTGAAGGCGGTTCGAATAGATCGAAGCTCATATTTACCGATTCACTCCAGATCTAGGAGGAGACTCATCACTGGTAGCTTACATCGACGTGGAATTTTTGGCCTTGTGCGTGGATATACATTAAATACGTGGAAATTTTCAACTTGCTACGTGGATGACATAAAAGCCCGTGTCAATGGAAGACTTGGACACAAAATCGATCCACAAATGCCTAAAATCAATCACTTTGCACCCAAATTTGCAATAAGTAAATTGAGGTCGAGATTATATTGCAATTACCCAAAGATTGGGATAAAATTACCAAACGCAAAAAGGTTAAGGTTTATTTAGAAATTAACCCTAAAGTTAAATGTACATACCAATTTTGGAAAAAAGTTATTTATATTTATACCAAACCTAATTACAAAGCAAAAAATTAATATACAAACAATATTGCGAAGCATAGATTTTTGCCATATCAGCATCCGAAGCGTATGAGTCTACCACTTAGGCTCAACATGAGAGAACCTATTTACCAAAAATAGTAAAAAAAAAAAATCCGTCAAAATTAATTGCATGTCACGTTGGGAAATTATTTGAATTTTATTTAATCAGGCAGCATTGAATGCTCTCTTAAATGGTGAGTTTACTCAATTAAGGTTTATTTATTTCTATTTATCTTACCTTCCATATAATCATATTCCTAATAAACATTAAATTTGCTTATATAACTTGAAATTAATTACATCAATAAATAATATTAATATCAATATTTATCATTAGATAAAAAATAAAATTACTTCTATAAGTGTTATAAAAGATAATGACATTATACGACAATAAAATTTTAAATAAAATAATATTTGAGTATTATGAAGAACTAAAAGTATGTAAAATTACTATTTTTCTATACTAAGAAATAAGTATATATGTTAAAATACTATTTATATTAATATAAACGTGTCAACGAGCTAATAGAATTTTAAAATAAAGTTGTAAAAAAATATTCTAAAATACGAAACCCCGTGCATCGCACGAGATTCTTACTAGTATATAGAGATATAGAGAGGGATAATTAAACCTTAATTACATCCATACACGGGGATTCTTACTAGTATATAGAGAGGGATAATTAAACCTTAATTACATCGCATGTCCAATTGATCTGACTTTTAATTTCTTTTATTTCTGATTCCATCACATAATCATGAGAAAAGCTAATCTTCATTTGCTGTAATCCACCAGATGGCACTTTTAATTTATAAGTAATTTGCTATTTGTCAACCTTTTTGACCATCACATCCACATGAAAGTTCTCCTCAAGAACAAGGATTAATATCATTTTTCAACAAGGAAAAAAAAAAGAAGAAAGAAATTTCGGGAGCCGTGCGATTCAGTTAGAGCTGTTAAAACGAAACGAATCTCTCACAAGTCGAGCCATACTATTAGAACGGTTAAACGAAATTAACCGCTCGTGAGCTACGACCCGACTCAGGAAGTCTCGGAATGAGGAGTTCATATATAAAATTTCGATAGCTCGACTAATTAAAACCCAAATTTAACTCGTGAATATTATAATCTTCTACTTCATGGCAAGAAAATATTTATTACTGTAGATGCAATAATTAATTCCAAGTCCTTTTCTCCTTCCACCATTTATTTTTTAATAAAGAGGATCAATACTGGTTTCTCAATTTCTCCCGAATGACTCGAACTCGGGACATAGTATACGTCGAGCAAAGATACGCGCCACTGCGCTAACCTCTCTTCGTCTGCCTTCCACCATTTGGAGCCATGAATTGTACCGAAAAACTGACAAAGGAAAAAAAATCTTGGGGCAAAAGTGAAATTTCCACAAGTTTATGGTACCAACCGACATGCTCAAGTAATTGTGGCATCTACAGGTGGACCTTCATCACACACTATCCTTCTCTCAATGCCCTTTCAATGGCAAATTAAATTCTCCCCCAACATGTCACGTGCCTCAAGCCCTGCACTCACATGACTCAGCATGTACAACAATATTCCACTTTATTTATTTATTTATTTATTTTTTTCAATGTTTTCAAGAGTACATTTCAATCTGTAATAACAACACTGCAGTTGTGTGTAGGGTGAAATATTCAATTTTTTTTTAGTATTATGCACGTTCTGTTAATTTAAATGAATCTAGTTTGGTTCGGCTCAAACTCGACTCGTTTAATAAACGAGCCGAGCTTTATCGTTTGTTTGGTCAACGGGCCTAACTCTCACTAGGCTCGAAAAAATAATTTTCTATAGTTCGACTCGTAAAGCTCGAACTCAACTCGTTATTAGTGGTAAATGAGTCGAACTCGAGCTTGATTTCAGGCAGTTTTGTTTAGCGAGCCGAGCTCGGCTCGTCTCATTAAGGGCTCGAGCTCTAGCTCGAGTACCCTAATAAGCTCGTGTTCTGCCCGGCTCGTTTACAGGTCTAACTCCACCACAAAATTGTACATCTTTATGAAATGGTCCAACTCAAAATTCTGACAAAGAAAACAAAAGAAGGGAGAAAAAAAAGGCTTCCATGATGTATATTTATAGACTTGTAGTCTGTAGATGTTTACATGTCACAAGTTAATTTCAGAAAAAAAATTCAACAAGAGAATCAATTCAAAGGTGCAGATACTGGAAATAGTAAACAAAAGGGCAAAAAGGGCAGAGAAAATCATCCATCAATTATTCAGGTTTATATTATCAAAAACATGAATTTCACAACCCCAAACTTGAGTCAAACAGCTTTCATTTCTATTAAATTTTGAGTTAAATTCACTACAACCACTTGCAACCATGTTTGGTAGTTGTAAAAACAGCTGGACTATTAATTAAACCAAAAAAAAAAGGATAATAAATGGTCTAAAATTTGCCAAAAGCCGATAAGCCACCAACCCTGTCACGGGGGATCAAGCGAAGTTCTGAGCCGTGTTTGAGAAACACATTTCCTGAAAAAAAAAACCGATCATATTCATGAGACTTCAGCAAAATACCAACTTGTTAAGAATTATGCCGAAAATTTGACTTTTGAGAAAACCAAATTGAAAATGATGCGTATCAAAAGTAGACGCTTTAATCTCAAATCAAATTAGGCGCAACTCTTAATAGGAACCTAAAGATACTAATAGATCAAAATGTTAATAGCAACATAGACTAGCTAGCTTACAGCTTATTTAGTTCTTCTTGTATGCAAATAACTTGGGTTTGGTTGGATGAACTTTTTCAAAAGGTTCTAGCTTATCTTAAATGTTTCTTTACGAAAATTTCGAAAGAGACTTCAAATTTTTGTTTCAATTGACTCATCGACTAAATTTATCAAACACTTTTATTAGTTATTATATTAACTAACTTTAGTCATCGGTCATAAGTTATGAGCTTGAAATTATCTGAGTTAGCTTATTAGTTATCAACTAGCTTTTCAGCTAGATTTCCAAATTACCCTAACTATATGATGTATGTACGCAACCAACATAATATCAAATTCAAATGCAGCTAGAAACTTGAAGAAGATCATAACAATTGTGCACACGGTACCGGATTGATGGTTTCGGACATAAAATGGGTCGTACCATAAAAGTTGCCTCTGAGGTTTAGCTTAATTAAGAACAAAATAAAGAGAGACGTTTAGTTAGCTTTCAAAATCACAAGACACCCCCTACCTCAAGTCATTGCAATACTCAATTAGCAGTGAGGCTTCTACACATCGAAATACATTTACGAATATCATAATAGTGAATCTTAAATTTTTGAAATAGAACTAAGATTTTAACTAAGTTAACACTATACACAACAACAACATAGCCTTTTAAACTAAGTTACACTACACCTCAAGATATTCGTTGTAATCAACAATACATAGACAAAACCCAAGAAGGCAATCAAACGATGAATCCAAGGAACAAACTACAACCTAACTTTGATCTTGGCAAGGCAAAAATTATATGGAATGAAGAATCATACCATGAGCATGACATATTAACATTCTCTAAGCAGCCAAAATATTGCGATTGTATTCTCAACCTCAGATCAATTAAGCAATCTAACCGAATATAAAGAGTGAAAAACAAAAAGAAAGATAGAAACGAAAAGGAAAACTAACTAACAAGCAACAATAATCTAAAAATACCTGCACTTTGTTGAGGATTAATTCCCACTCCATCTGCATATAACCAAAGAAGCACCAAAATCAGATTAATAAAACACACACAAAATTTTCATGTGCAATTGAAGAAAAACTTCAAACATTACATTCTCATCAAGTCATTACAAACAAAGAAAACCAATTCCAATCGACTGTGGACTATGTCAGCATACCAATCGACGTCATAATACGATTGCTCATGCCATTGCTAAATGAGCGGTGTGCTCCAAACCCACGATTATGTGGTCAGATTGTATTCGAATCTTTTTTTCTCCTCTGTTCTATAGGAACTTGATGGTGTAATAGGGCTTTAGGCCCTTTTTATTA